ACGTTCAGCTGCTCGTGAGGATTTCATCAACCTTTAAACACAACCTCACACATTTTACTGTTTTATTATAAAGACAAAGAGACTTTTCTGTCTTTACATTAAATAACTGTGAATTTTTCAATGTAATATTTATCTCTTTCTTCCTGACTTTGCTGTAAAGCTGATGGAGTAAGCAGTGGTTGGACCCTCTGGGTGGACGCTTCTGGCCCACGGGCCGTATGTTTGCCACCGTTGCTGTAAAGCTTATGAAGCTAGATTAGCTGCATCGTGAAGGTTCCCTGTGCCAGCTGCTGTTTGTTTGTGCGGCGTCTCACTGGGACACAAAGACTCGGCTCAGGTTTAAAACTGTTTTTATTAAAGCAACAACAGAAACAAGCGCGGTTGGCGTGAGAGCGCCGTCAGCAGAGACCGCCACGGTCATCAGGGCTGCTCAGGTCCTCGAGCGGGGAATTGGTGAGCAGCCTTTCATCCTCTCTGCAGACGCTCCGAGACGTGAGGAAGGAGGAGCCGAAAGAGCGCCGAGAGCCGGAAGCAGGAAGAGGTCGAGGTCAGAGCCAGCGTCTGATCAGGCGGTTTGGCACGGCGTCTGATTGGGAGGCTTTTTGGACCTCCCTGCCCTCCAGCTCTCGGCTTACTTTCAGGACCCGCAGTTCTCCTTCGGCAGCACGTCGATGCCCTGCTCTGTGGGCGGGGTCATCAGGGCGGGTTCGCTGCTCATCCTGTCGCCCTTGCGAGCTGCGGAGACAGAGAGATGGAGAACAGGAAAGAGTTTATTTAAAATGGAAGAACTTCCTGTCTGACACTGTTCTAACTTTAGAGGCTTTTATTCTGTAAAAACTTCAGAGTCACAGCAACACAAAGACGCCGCAGCCTGAAGCTCCTCCAGCATCACGCAGTCGTAGCTCTGACGTCTCTGTTCTCCTCACACAGGTGTGCTCAGGTAAGTCCAGCTCTGCTCCTGGGCTGGACCGTTTGTCTCTGAGTCCAGGTGATTCTGCTGCTCAGCTGTCAGAAGGAAGCGCCAAGTGTCGGCTCTGCAGAAGAAACTGCAGCTCTGAGCTGGAGGACGCTCTGCAGCTCCACAGCACAGAAACAGGCGTTTCTTTGTGTCTGCAGGTCAAAGGTCACGGTTCTGCTGAAGTGGAGTCGAAGCTCCACACAGGTTGCCCCTCTGAGAGTCGTGTCGCGTAGACACGGAGCTGCGAGGACTGCAGGACTGGAGCTGCTGGTCCAAACCTCAAACGTCCACATGACGCACCAAAGAGCGTCTGTGAGCGCAGACGGGGTTTCCTCTGCAGGGAGGCGCACCGCAGGGTTTAAGTACAGCTTCTGTTCAGGCGAGCTGCTCAGAGTGTTTCTGTTTCTGTGGTGAAGTTTCTGTGCGAACGCTCTCACCAGGCTCTCTTGATTTCCTCTGTCAGCGCTGCAGAGGCGCCTCGTTGGCCACGGCGGCGTGGAGAAATGAGGACAGTCTAAAACAGCTGCGAGAGCTTCACCACATCTTTCTCACCGCAGCTGCAGCTCTGCCAGCGAGTAAACAGAGTCTGAGGTGAGTCTGCAGATGATCTCTGACCGAACCCGAGCGTCACCTCTTTGTCCTCTGAGGTCGACTGACACCGATACATCACTGCGTGCGGAGAACACTGACCACACTCACATTTAGCCTGCTTGCATCCCGCGGTGCTCGGCTTCTCCGGCTGCTCCTCTCCTCGCGCCGCAGCCCGGATCTTCCTCGCCACGTACCGACAGGCTGCAAACAGAACGACATGAACACGAGTGAGTTAACGGGCCCACCGTGAGTCCCATTCCCCGAGAACATCGGGACTTTGGATCAGACTTAACTGAAATCATATCTGAGCCAGGAGGCTCTGACACCGCCACACCGTCCCCGAGTTTAACCCCTAACCCTGAATTATCCTGCCGGTGCAGGAAATGCTGATTACATCTCATAAATGCAAATTAACAGTCCGTTCATTTCTTTGTCAGAAGCTGACCTGATTGACACAACAATAACAATATTCATATTTATAACAAAGTGCAGTAATAA